TTTTTTTTTTTTTTTTTTTTTTTTTTTTTTTTAATCTGGTCAGACACTTTCTACCATCTTCAGCATCTATAGCGCCGTCATCCGTCTGCTGCAGCAAAGCTCCAATTAGCTGCAAATAGCATTGGCAGGCGAAGTGTAAATTTCTGACTCTTAGAATAGAATCCCCAACAAATACTGCGTTCTAAACGGTCTTTATTTCTGCAGCATATTGTCCCCTAATGCGCACTTTCACTTATAGCTTTGTTTTTTTTTTGTTTATACAAGGTTTTGCGATTTTCTTTTTTTTCTTTTTTTTCATCATAATATGCCCTATAGCCACGCTGAGCCTTATGATTTCTGTTTGTAAATTACATCTGTAAATCTTGATTGCTGCCCTTGAATGGCATGAAAGTGAAAGTCCATCCAGCTGCTCAAATGCATCTTTAAAATGTAATAGTTTAAGGTCTAAACAGGTTCTGAGTTCATCATATTTTTACAGACAATGGCTGATTAATAGCAGGGATGCTCCATTATTCTCATTTGTAAATTTCTTAGACATGTTTGAACGTTATAACTATGAGAGTAAATAAAAAAGAAATAAAGAAATGTGTGTGTGTGTGTGTGTGTATACATATGAGAGAGAGAGAGACAGGATGTCATTTGGTTGGATAGAAATTCATTTTCTTCCCGTTTCATTTCTGATCGTATTTTGAACACGAGATGTTCTTCCCGGTTTTAATGTAGCCTGCTTTCTGATTTATTAGTCGGTCTGAACTCCCGCTCCCTGAAAGAGTGGGAGCTGACAGCTGTCTGTGGAAAAGTTCTTGGCTCATCTCCACCCAGAGGCTTCATTTTGTGTGTGAGGCCTGCATGCAGCATAGCTGTGTGTTTTGAGGGTCATCCCAGAAAGGCTTCACCCCGGGCTAGTGCGAATGGAGAGTGCACAGACAGGCACCTCTGGGTGTGTGTGTGCATGCGTGTGTGTGTGTGTGTGTGTGTGTGTGTGTGTGTGTGTGTGTGTGTGTGTGTGAGAAGTGTTAGGATTCCTTGTGGCAGATGAGCTCTCTCTCTCTCCCTCTTCCCCTCAGGCTGTTAGAATAAACACAGCAGAGGCAAATAAAAACCATATCCTGACAGTGCAAGACATTTTCACGAAAATGCTAACCAGAATCTAGTAACTTGTCTGGAAAGAAGAAAAAGGCCAACACTACGGCAGGTGGTCCCTACGCAGTAGTTTAGAATGGCAGGCGTGGGAAATTAAGTACTGTGATCTAAATTTGGGTTGTGGACGGCCGAGTGGCTTTTAGAGAAAGAGTATCCGTGGGTACAGACTGAGGAAGAACAGACGGTTTGCCCAGGAGCAAAATGTGCTGAAGCCAAAGGAGGAAGGGGGGGCGGAGGGGTTAAGACGAGGGTCCAGATGTGCGACAGCCGTGCTGGCTGCCTGTTTACATTTCTCAGCTAACGGGAGCATATTTTTAACCTCTGCCTGCTTTTGTTCTTTGTGCAGGTGCTGGCGAGTCGGGGAAGAGCACCATTGTGAAGCAGATGAAGTGAGTAGCTGCTCATTGTTTCGCCTTTCCTCCCGTTCGTTAATCCCAGCTTATTGTTTTAACCGAATTAGCAGTTATTTACATAGATGTGCTGATTTAAACTCGAGACTATCTACATGGAAAAGATCTGAAATTTAAGGAACGAGATCCATGTTTTCCAAGAGCTTTACTGTTTTGGAAGCGGCATATCATCAGAGGTGGGTCGAACAAATGTAACATTTTGAAAAGTAATTCTTTGTAGTTTGCTAAGTAAAAGCACCAGGAACATGAGCTGTCATCACAGAATGAAATTCACTTGAGACTCTTCCGTCTTGGAAAAGTCTTCATACCCGTTGAACATTTTGCTTTTCACCACAATCTATTTCAATGGGGTTTTTTTTTTTTTTTTTTTGTAATAGGTCGACTGAAAGGTGCTCATAAATATTTAATGAAAGGGAAATGATACTTTATTGCAACTGTTTTGCAGTTAAAAAAAAGTTCAGCACTGTGGTGAGTAACTGTATTCAGCCCCCGTTTAACCTAAAACCCATAGATAAAATCTAGTACCAACGTCAGAAGTGACCCGTTAACTAAATGTAGTCATCTGTGCGCACTTTAACCCCAATATAAATGCACCTGCTCAGTGAAGGCCTCCGAGGTTTGTTAGAGAACACTGTTAAGAAAAACACAACATAAAGACTAGGAGAAACGGCACATGTCAGTCCTAAGCTTTTATCTATCGTCCGGAAATGGAAATGGTGTGACCCCAATGCAGACCTAAGAAGACCATCCATCTAAACTTGACAGACTGGGCAGGTAGAGCATTAATCAGATAAGAGGCCGTTGGTAACTCTGGACAAGCTGCAGAGAGCCACAGCTTAGGCGGGACAGCCTGTTAACGCAACAGGTTTTAGTTGGGCACTCTAAAGATCTGGCTTCCCCCCAGATGCTGCAAAATGCTCCAGATCACAACCCTAAACATGCACTTTAGCATATTTTTATTATAAATTATAAACCGTTACTGAAGGTCTTTGCAGATATTTTCTGATATGACATTTTGGAAATCCTGGACCATCCAGGTCCTCTACAAGTATGCCATAGTTTGCATGTTACTATATTATTACCTCTGCTGAGTTTGAGTGCAGATTACATACTGATATATTGTATAGAAATTATACACTAGCATGTCTGCATGCATTTGAATTGGCTTGACATTAATTCTTAGAAGAAAAGCTTAATAAAGATGAAATTTATTTGTGTTCAGGGACATTAGTAAAAAAAAAGATCATCTTCAAGACACTCAAGATTGGTGCTTAAACGCTTCACACATCATTTGTATTGTTTGTATGAGGATGAAAACACCATGGGCTTTCAGTAATTTTGGCTGGGGCTCACAGTGTTCCACTGTGAGCTCACTTGAATTTTAATTAGATCCCATTCAGCACAGCACACAGCTACTGAGCATCTTGGCCGTGACACACCGGGGGAGATGGTTCTGTTTGGTTCCGAGCTGAGCAGCTTCTCGTTTAGCCTCGTGCTTTTTCAGTCACACACTGACGTCTTGCTTTTTATTTCTCGGGCCAAAATCTCAGAAAATGAGTAAATATTTGTTTTGTGTCCCTCGGTGGATTTTTCGGTAATAAAATGTTTTAACGAGAAAAAAACAACAACCAAAAAACCAAAAAACCAATGATTTTACAGTGATATGGAAAGTGTTGCTCCTTACCACATGTCTCTATTTTTACCCTTTTGTCACACTTGCATATTTCAGATCATAGGCCAGCCAGATTTTTCAAACCATAATTTAATTTAATTTAAGGGCGGGGATATGTGCTGCTTTCAATGCAGCTTATTACAAAGCTTGGTTTTTATTTCTTCTGTTAGGCCCTGTTATTTTTTTCCAGTTTCATGCTTTGCTTCATTTTCCAGGATTATTCATGAAGATGGGTATTCAGAAGAAGAGTGTAAGCAGTACCGAGCAGTGGTCTACAGCAACACAATCCAGTCCATGATGGCCATCGTCAAAGCCATGAGCAACCTGAAGATCGACTATGAGGACAGTTCTAGAATGGTAGGGGTTCGAAGTCGCACACTTTTGCTTTCTAGGACCAAGAATCACTGCTGAAATAACGCCACGACTGTAAAAATGACTAGATTTTGGTCTTTGATGTCATGAAACCTTAGAGCTCGTAACATTAATATTAAACCTGCTGGATGTTTGCATAAGGATTGTGCAATGAAGATGCTTGAAACGCAGAGATAAAATCTCAGCTGGTTCCATCTAAACCCTTAGCTTTCATCACATTTACCCCGTGGGACTGACGCTGCAGAGTCCATCCAGATCTCCTAAATGAGGTGGAATAGTTTTTCTTGGGAAAACACCAGGACAGACTTTGAAGATGGCCGCCTGCAGAAATCTATTGGAGGAAAATGCAAACAGCCACTTCTCAATGGGGAAGCTCCCAGTAAAATATTTAGACTTAGACAGTTACAGCAATGGAAAAACTCATCTCTCTTCTTTTTTCCCTTTGCGTTCAGCAGAAAGCAGATGTTGACATACAGTATAAACGGGCGCAATATATTTATTCCTCTATGTCTTGCGTTAACTCAGCCTAAACGCCTACGGTTTTACGTAAGCTGTGATTTCTAAAGTTATTTCTAATTTATAAAAACCAGAGTAAATAAGGATGTTACTTCTTTTTCCACCTGTTCGCCTGTGTCATTACCTTCATCATGACTGCAGAGTGATGTGGTTAATCGCTGGAGTTGGACAGTTCATTTCCTTCTGATTATCACAAAGAACAGTTGGTGCCATTCGAAAAATCTATTCACTGTTGCACTGTGCACATTGTGTGGCACGTCAGCCAAGTGGACCTCCTGTGGGCTGCAGCTGACATGGCTTCGAGGCCCGGATAATGGTTAACCAATACATGGAAGTCTGCCCTGCACAGCAAACACTAGAGGTTTATGTGAGCCGCTGTCTTGAGGTGAAAACGCACAGGGCCAGTGGCGTCACGAAGGTGATGCAGCAGGTGCCCTTTCCGTTCCGTTGATCAGAAAGCTCCTCCTCCTGCCGCTGCTCTGCTCTGATTAATGTCGGCATTAATGCAAATGTCTTGCAAGCTGCTCGGTCGGTCGACGCCGCGGAAACGTTGACCTTAAAGTTGTTTGCGTGGGCATGAAAAGGACAAGGCAGCAGAGTGATATTTATAGTTACAGAAACTCGCTGCAGATGTAAAACTCATAACATTCTAGATTACTTCCATTTGTCAGTTTCAGGCTGATTGGTGACTAATCTGTTCTTTCCTTTTTTTTCTAATTGGAAACTTCAGACAATGTAGTCTAAATTTTTTTTTTTGTTTCTGTCGTAGCTCTTTCAAAAACAGTAAACAGCTCAGAATAATAATTTTTAAAACATTTAAGACCACACTTAACATGCAGCATAACATCAAGTCTATGTGTTGGCTAAGTAACATCGCTAATCCCTCCTGTTATCTGATTAGTTTTGGACAAACAAGAGACTCTGCATTTTTGTTTCCATTTGCTTCCATTGTTGACTATTAATGAAAGCATAATGATTATTCCCAATGAAGAGAGCATGTCGGCATATGCTGTTATTCACTCATCTTTTTACTTTCTTCATGCATTTTCCTGAAAAGTCTTGCACTTGCAACAAAACTGTAAATATCGTCACATTTCCTTGATGGCACCAGCAGTTTTCAAATGACGCCTTTCATGTGCGTGTTCTCCGCAGGACGATGCTCGCCAGCTGTTTTTACTGTCTGTAGATGCAGAGGAGCAGGGCAGCCTGCCAGAAGACCTGTCCAAACTCATCCAGCGGCTGTGGGAAGACGGCGGCGTCCAGAGCTGCTTCACACGGGCCCGGGAGTATCAGCTCAACGACTCCGCAGCCTAGTGAGTTTGTGCGACAGTAGCCTGAGATGAGCACTTGAATTTTAAGCTCCGTGTTTGTGTCTCGACTTGGCGTGGGGGCAGTAAAGGATTTTAACTGTATGAATATGAGTGGGAACGCCGCAGCTTCATGCTGCTGCAAAGTTTAATTGAAAACAGGAAATCTATTAAATATCTCTGTGTAGATTTAGTTTTTCATAAAGTAAAGAAAAAAATGTATAAAATGAAGACCTGCTAAAATTAGTTGCAGTTTTCAAGTTATTGACTGCTGATGCCAGTCGGCCTGCGGTCGGCTGTTCAGTAAATATGACGCCATCAAACTGACCCGATTGTAAATTTGTCGCTGGTTTGAAACTGTAACTTTTAAAATGTTGCCTTGCTTAGTCTGCAGCATCTTCACACGTGGCTCAACTCTTCTAGATTTAGAATAATCTCAATGTTTACCAATAATACTAAATAAAAAGTCAGAAAAAGAGTCGTAACATAAGGAAAATGCACAGAGTGATACCTTTAAGAATAATTCATACTTGGATATTTAAAAAAAAACAAAAAAAACAATGTTATTTAGAATTTGATGTTGTTTCGTAGACACCAGTTTTGTTATAGTTTTTATTTTCATATCCAAATTTTGATTGGTCTATCATAAAATAAGCAAAAATATGCCAAGTAATGTAAAGAAATTAGATTTTAAGCCATTCCTGGATGCTGGTCTGAATGGTTTTTACGCCGTACTCATAAATCAACACATTTTGAAACGCCTGTACTTAACACAATAGTAACCTGTTGCAACTGCTCATTCAGTCCTGACCTCCTCCGTGAAGCCTTATTACCTCACTAACCCTCCACCGTGGAGCGCTGCGTTCGCTGGCCTCGCTGCTCAGTGTCACGGCAGCAGTGAGACTCTGTGGTTAGGATGCAAGAGATGTTTATCTCCGTGACCCTCGGGGTTGATCTGATACAGAAGTCTGGAGAATACAAACCTTTGTTCACCGTACTACGAGCCGCAGCACGAAGAAGCTGCTCTGATTCGTCTGGACCGGCTCGTTGACGGGGCTGCGACCTCTACAGGTTGCGTCTGTAGGACACCGTAACGCGTTTCAGAAGCGATTGCGCCGCGGTAAAGGCAGGATCCGACTCGCCGGGACATTGACATTGTCCTGTTTATGTTGGCTAGCGTAATCTAAACTTTTCTGCGTCTGCTTCTCAGCCAAAACTGCAGGGGGTTGTGGACAACCAGATGGTGGTTCATCAAGGTTTTATAGTGTGCTAAGAGAGTAAGTTGATATAAGGGTGGACTAAATGAGTCTGGCATCGGGCCTTAATCCATGTCAGAGGACTTGAAGAGAGCCAGAGAGAGGAAGGGGGAAGATGAAGTGTGAGCAAGGGAAGTGGCACGCCTCCCGCCAGACCTCTGTGCTTGTAACAGATTCAAAGACGGAAAATACTAAATTGAATCGATTCAAAAGACCTCAACCTTGTCATTGATTTCTCTGTTGGAAAAAAAAAAAAAAAAAAATCCTCTTTCCTCCCAAGTGTTCTTTGTGCCGTCGCATTTTTCAGCTTTACACTTTCTTGTCACACTGCAGCTGCTTGCCGAATTCAGCTTCTTCGCAGTTGTTCATCATAATGAACAAATCGAGCACAAGTCTGACATGTTTGCTGAAAGCGGTCACGATCACTCTCTGCGATGACGGCCGTGATGCTGCTCCTACACACTCGTGTAGGGAGTAGGAGCTGAAATATTTGCACGTAGTCTGCATGCCGTGCCAACGTTTATCTCAAGGGTTTTCTTGTCGGTTAAAAAGCCAGAGATTCGGTTCATTAAGGCATTTTACTTCAAGAATAAATGAAAAATGACACGACCAAAACTACTTTTACTCTTCAATTACAACAAACAAACTTTCATTTATTCTATGCTTTTTGCTGAAGTGTTAGGACTTCCTCTTAGTCTTACAATTTACTCCAAAACGTCATCCGACGCTTTCTCGCCGAGACGAGACGGCAGTCTTTCACAGATGCGCGTTGACACGTGTGTTTTCTCCTCAGCTACCTTAACGACCTGGAGAGAATAGCCAAGTCAGACTACATCCCCACACAGCAGGACGTTCTGCGGACCCGGGTGAAGACCACAGGCATCGTGGAAACGCATTTCACCTTCAAGGACCTGCATTTCAAGTGAGAATCCTTTTTTTTTTTTTTTTCCTCACAAAAAATCGGTCTCTTCATTTGAAAACCTACTTTTATTTCAGCTTTCTGAACGGCAGGACATTAATAGGCTGTATATATTAGTGAAGGTCTAAGAGGGGGGGAAAAAAAAGGGTCTCTTGCTCAATTACTCAAAGATGTACCTTTTTTTTAAAAAAAAAAAAAAAAAAGAAAATTACAAAAAATACATGAACAAATATGCATTGCATACCTGAGGAAAAAGTTAGGATACCCTAAAAGCTAATGTTACTCCCAAAACTCAGTGAAACATTCCCGTCTACCTCTGACGTGGGTTTGCCCAGTTCATTAGTTTCAGCTGCAAGATATTTAGGTGGGTTTTTTAAGTCGGTCCTCAGTGGGCTCCAGTTCTGACTGGACCCAGAGCTTTGTACTTCCAAATATATTTCTCACTGAAAAAGACTTATTTCATCAGCATTTTATGGAGAGTTTTTTTTTTTAATGCTTTTCATTTTGTGTTTGGGTTCAGGGGGCGGCTACGATGCAAAATAAAATTTCTTATAAGTTATGTTAGCTTAAATACAACATTTTCATAAGAACTGAATGTAGCATGGTTACTTGATCTATAAGTTGGTCTACATGCCTGAAAAATACACAATACTGCCGCTTTAAGTTCTTCTCATTATTGATAATGAGTTTTCAGGTGTTGTGTTCATTTCTGTCATGTAAAGTACATGTTGGTAAAACACTCGGGCTGTTGCAGGGTGTCCTCATTTATTCAAACGACTGTTCTGGATAAAACCGATGTAAACAGTGATGAAGATGAGCCAAACTGCGTGAAGTGTGTTACGGTTAGTCAGCTCTTATTCAGCCTCTTAAAGGTCTGTGAAACCGACACAATCGTCTAATTAGTAACGTTTGGCAACGTGAAACCTGAGGTGTCGACGTTGTATTCCTGAAGTTTCCTCGGAACGTCGCTCTCTTCGCCCTCGGTTACGCTCAAAACGAACCAGTCGGACGTCATGCCTGGCGATAATAAGCGCCCTCTTTCTTTTCCTTAACCTCAGTCCGCCTACATGAATTATCTAGTCGTGGAGAAAAAAAAAAAACCCTGCTGCCATCAAGTCTCCACCTGTCTTTAAGTCCTCTTGTTACCACAGCAACTATACTTTATAAGAAAAATACCAGCAAAATTGGAGAACGATGCCTGTACATCAGACGTTGCTCTTACGAGACGACGAGACAGAAACTTTGAAGACCGTTTGCTTTGCCGTCTGCTGCCTCGTGAAAGCGTCTCATTTACTCGCCGTCTCTCTCGCAGGATGTTCGACGTCGGCGGCCAGCGGTCGGAGAGGAAGAAGTGGATCCACTGCTTCGAGGGTGTCACAGCTATCATCTTCTGCGTCGCGCTGAGCGCCTATGACCTGGTGCTGGCGGAAGACGAGGAGATGGTGAGTCTCGCGGACTTCAAAACGGCTTCAGATCTCTTGCACGGCCTCTCTCTCCTAGGAACGGTTTTCACAAGGAGGGCAGCCGGGGGCTTCGATTAACTAATTTCCTTCTGCCTGGCTGGCGCTCTTTAATCTCTCGATAATTTGCGCTTGTCGTCCCCAGAACCGGATGCACGAGAGCATGAAGCTGTTCGACTCCATCTGCAACAACAAGTGGTTCACGGAGACGTCCATCATCCTGTTCCTCAACAAGATGGACCTGTTTGAGAAGAAGATTGAGCACAGCCCCCTGTCCATCTGCTTCCCTGAGTACACTGGTACTGTATGAATGCCAGCTAGTCTCTGCAGCTCGTAATGATTCCACAAAGTCTGCTTCAGAAAGTAAATACACATTCTGACGCCGTAGGAAGTGCTTCAGAGTCGATGTAATAACTGTGCACTTAGCCCCTCAATTTATACAGCCATAAACCTTCAGCTTAGACCCTCAAAGAAATAATCTGCTTCTCTTCATCTCATCATTCTCAGTAGATTTAAATAATTATGTGGATCTGTTTTGCATATTCTGACATTAACGTGTCTGATTTCATACAAATTTCAGTCTCTTTTTGTTCCGCATGCACAGATTCGCAATCTGATGTCTGCATTTAGCTACGAAACATCATGTTTTCAACTTAAAGTCGTACGTTTGTTGTACATCGCTTTATTTCATTTCATTTTACCAGAGCCTGTGGCTTGCTTTCACATTTTTGTCTTCCTCATTGAGATTTCATACCATCGGCCAACAAAACGTAGTGCGTATTTGTGAAGAAGAGGAAAGTGATGCACAGTTAACATAAAAATAAATAATAAGTGTAGTGAGACCTGCTTTTTTTTTTTCACGTCGTCTTGTTAGATAATGTTGGTCTTCGTGTCCCACAGGCCTCAACAATTACAAAGAGGCTGCAGCTTACATCCAGAGCAAATTCGAGGACCTGAACAAGAAAAAGGACACCAAGGAGATCTACACCCACTTCACCTGCGCCACTGACACCGAGAATGTGCAGTTTGTGTTCGACGCGGTCACCGACGTCATCATCAAGAACAACCTGAAGGACTGCGGCCTCTTCTGAGAAGCCGATCCAAAGAAGAATCAAGGTCAGGCCGGAGATATTCACTTAGAGATTCGATTGAGGTTTTATTTTTTTTTTCTGTGACTGATTTGTTTTATTTTATTTATTTATTTTTTTTTTTGTCTTTTTAGATTACTTGAACAGTTCTGATGACCATGACGGGGGCGTTTATACACACACCACGAATAACTGCACTGTCCATAAACGATTTCTGCTTCAATCTGCTTTTTATTTTTGTTATTCTAAAGACACCTAAGAGACAGAAAACCCAACGGGCCTTCCAGATGTTCCAACGATTGCCGATCCTGCCGCTCAACTGTTTGGGCTTTGACCGCAAAAATAAACAATTATTTTATATTGTTTTTCCTTCATTTTCAATTGCTAAAGGAGAGAAAGGATACTATATATATATATATACATATATATATATAAACACCTAAATTTAACTTTTAGATCCTGATGTGCAAATTATGAAATGTTTAATCGTGTGAAACTTATTTTTTAAGATGCAGAAGAAGGATATGGACATAAAATGAGATTCATAAGAGAGAGGAAAAAAAAGTGCTTTTTTTTTTAAATACTGTTTACATTGGTTCATCATTCATAGCTAAACCATATATTCTGCATGTCTCCACAGGACCAATAATAGCTCTGTAATCTGCACAAATTATTCTAACATTCCTACAAAATGATTTAAAAAAAAATAGATTTTTTTTTTTTAGAAAAAAATTAAAAAAAAAAGGTTTTACCTGCAGGGGAAAATTTATGACAAAATGCTAACGTGTATTTAAAGTTTGTGTGCACCTAACATGCTATCACTTTTTATACTACTATTCATTTCTGTGTCTATTGCAGTATGTTTTGTGCCTTTACTTCTGTTTACAGCCAGTTCCCTAGATATACTTTCATTACTGTTTGTCCTACTTTGCTCCTAAATTTGTTTTCTTTCGGGGTTTTTTTTCCTCAGTCTTTGATCTATGAATACTTAGTGATTATTAAAGAGATATCAAAATCTAATTCAGAAAAAAAAGGTTACTGTTTTTGGTTTTAAAAAAATGCAAATATTGGTCTTATATGATTTAATTTAAATAAAGTAGAAATCACTCTTGCATATTGGTTTTTGTTCTGGTTTTTTTTTAATGCAAGTACTCTCACAGCAGTATGCTTATTTTTTTTTACAAGTGCATCTTAATGTTAATGTAATTGAAAAGGTATTGGATGATGACTTTAGTACACACAGTGATGTATCTCAAGCATTTAGTTTTGATTTTGATGTCGATGGCTAGCGGCTTATTGAAGCCCCTACATTCAGTTCATCAGGAAATGAAATGTCTCTTAGGACAAATAAAGTAATTAATGTAGCAATGTTCTGTTGGTGTTCAAAAAATGCGGTGTCCAAGGACGACGATGGAAAGTTTAGGGGAAGGAAAAAGTGTGATAGAAAAACGTGCACTAGCAACAGGTTGCATGCTTTGATTTCTCTTTGTCACCAGGCCATCACCAAGGTGACATTTCCACAATTGGTGATGATTTATAAAGCAATATCTTCTGCTATTGTAGATCCACTGTGTTTTATCAAGTCCAAAGTCAGAGCCACGGTTTACCTGGACATTTTAAAGCACTTCATTCTGTTTCAGCGAGCCTTGTGGAGACGCTGATTTCATTTCTATACGGTACTGTCAAGAGGAAGATGGCTGACACCATGGCCAACCTTACAGATGACTTCAAACCCACTATTACAACAATATAGCACTTCTTAAAAGCCAGGTGTTGAGTGCACACCACATGGACACACATCCAGACACTCGTGTGTTGCAGAGCAGCCTACCGAGTTTGACCAGGATGAGGGCTCCCCGTCTATCCAGAAGAATCACTTGAAGACTCGGCTCTTCATGGAGCATCTTCTACTTCACACCCTTTACCTGTTTCTGCACTAATGATTCTTTTTGCATTAGCTTATGTTGTTAATTGAATATTTGGTTTCTATTAGCTTTAAGCCATGATCATCAAATTATGCACATCATTGTCTTCTCTTGGGCTGTAGCAGACGCACGCAAGCTGCTTCGATGTCCGATGCAAATTTGTAGAGTTGCGGCTAAAGCTACTGCGTCATTATTTTAAATTATGAAAATAAAATGAGAGGTTAGAGTCCTGATGTTGAGGAAAGATGGGCAGAATGGCTACACTCAATAACATTAGCAATTACAAAAAACGGTAAAATTATAAAGATAAAAGCAGCTAAAACATGTAATTATATTAAAAGTATAATCATAAAATCCATGTCAGTGCTTGCATATATTTATAAAAGTATGTAAGACTTAAGCTATGAATTCCTGCGGTGTGTTTTGTTTTTGTCAAGGTATATTTTTCAAATTGAATGTTGCAGCTTCGCCTTTGGAAACTTGCAAATTGTTCAGTTTTTTTTCTTTTGCAAGCAGCACATGTATATGTCACAGACTGATACTGCCACCTGGTGACCAGTCAATACAAAAAATCATTTTAATTAAAAATGAAATGTATGTGAATGTATCTGTCTGTGGCGTTCATGCCTCCGGCAGCTGAAACCTGATGAATCAATAAGGGGGAAGCAGAAGAACAGTTTATTAAAAAAAAAAAAAAGTTGCAAATTTTTCTCATGCTTTCCTACATATCAAAGTTCATATCGGAAAAGAATTTGAAAACTTAGATCATTGGATTAAAACCACCCAACGGCAACATGCCTAAACTTGTATTTGAACTGGAAGCGTATCCAGCAGCTGAGAGGCGTTACGTGCCGTAAGGCATGCAGTCGAAGCAAAACTGCTGAATAATGTCACTGGAGCATCAACCAGGCTGGTTTTACCTGATTTCCACTCTCAGGTCTGAATGAAATAAGGTGATTTTAAACCACATTAAGGATGGAAACTTTTTATTTTATTTTATTTTTTTATGTATTCCACCAGTTTTGTGATTTAATTTGATTTTAAGGGTTTTTAAAGTGAAAGTTCTCTGATGGACTCCGTGATCCTAGACTGTAGTTTTTTTTTTGTTTTGTTTGTGTTTTTTGACAAAAAGCTTGAGAAGTTATGGCTTACAGGTTAGCTTTTATTATTAATTTGTCATGGACAAATGATAACTTGCTTACTTTAGCTTTAAGAATATTGAAGATGCTCATTTCTTTTACATTGGAATTTAAAATGTGACTCATCACAAGCATTAATTTCTGCTCACATTAATGATTGTGCCTTGCAGCTCATGAAATCCTGAAGTTTAATTTCATTTTTAATACTACATAAGATTCATTAATGAGGATTTAACACAGAATTAGACTTGCAAAGTCACGCTTTTGTGGCAGGTATTGATACTTTTTAACAGTGTGAACAGGTTCAACCTCTTGATGGAAAATGGCATCGTCTTAAAGCTTGTCGGCTCAGGAAAACGCGAGTTGCTCTAAAGTTTTCTGGTAGACCGACATCAACAAGACTCACTAAATTAAACTAAACAAAAATGTCACACTGGCCCCTTAAACAACTTGATTTCTGGGTCTGTCCACTTTTCTTCCAGACTCTGTGACCTTCATATACAAATCTAATCAATGTCTTTTTTTCTCTCTCTTTCCTTTAGTTGAGATAGGAGTTTCTGGTGAACAACTGTGAAGTCAGCCGTCTTCTTAATGATTGTGTAGGGAAAGGACTTTAAATATCTAATAAAGAATTATAAATCTAAATCGTTTTAAAATCAGACATAAAGAACTGAGTTTCCGTTCTGCTTCACCCAGCTGGGCTGTTGGTCCTTTTCTTACAAAACCACAGAAAAACTTGATTTGGTTTGAACCGTGTTCACTAGAGGGCGCTGCAGCTCCACGTCTGCAGTCGCACAAGAAAGCATAACCCTGAGTGCAATACTTCAGTGTCCGAAAGAAAAAGAGGAGATTCTTGAAGGCTTTAAAGACGCAATCTGTTTTCTTAATTTTGCAAAAACAAATGTTTAAATGTGACCCTAAAACAAAGCAATCTTTGAAGAAAGTTTTAAAAGAAATCTTACCCATTACAGTTCCTTTAAACAGTAGTTTTCTTCTTAAATCCCTTAAATCCAGATGTAGGCAACAGTGCTTGACCTTTTAAAAATAAAATCATCTGTGGGTGTAAAAACAACAGAACAAACCCGGGCAGGACAAAGTGAAGAGAAATGATGTGAAAAGCTGCTTCTGAGTCAGTGACGCCTGAACTCCCAGCCTTGATAATCCCGCCGCATTTGTGACAATAGCAGAACACAAGAATTAGACGTATGGCACTAAACACGAGAACGACGAGTCCATCTCTGACCCTTACTGGCCTGGATTTGGTCAAGCACCACTTTTACAATATTAAAACCCATTAAGGCTTCAGGAAAGCAGGGATGAAGATGTGTACAATTGAATTAATCTCTAGTCCTTCAAACTGTCTCTTGTATAATTACTTGCTTCATGCAGAGCTGCTGGAGTGTGGGGGAACCAAAATTGCTGGCTTTCCCCCCCCTTTTTTTTTGGGTTTAATGTTGCAAATTGAAAAGCACACACTGAACTCTTTCATGTGGTTATCTTGCTCTCTTTAGGCCGTTTTTTTTTTAAACAATGCACAAAGAAAAAAACCATGTGTCGATAACGCAATTAAAGAAGTGCAAATAAGAGAAGACATTCTAAAAAAAAAAAAAAGATGAATGATTGAGTTTGCATTTTAAGAAGTCGTATTCCATATCAGGGTTGATTGTTTGTGTTGGATGAACTGGTCAGGACCTGTTATCTCTGTTCATATGTTAATGCTGGACTCAGTGAGGTCAAATCTGCACCTGAACAGTGGCTCGTCAACGGCGAGGAGTCAAAGCATTCTTCCTCGCTCCGTCAGCTTAGCACAGACATCAGGCCTCTGAATGCTGTGAACGGAGAAGTGGAGCGTCGAATGACTGCCAGGGTCCAAAAGCTCACTGATGGTGCAGATTTGCATGTGTGCGTTTCGTATTCGCTCAGATGAATAGTTTGCTGACGGCAGGGCGTGAGGCCGAAGTGGCCAAATGGATGGCGCAGACGACGAGGAAAGATAGCGTGAAGGTTCAGGTTGATGCATACATGCAATACAGAGAGGCAAGACAGCTGAAAAGTAACACAGCTTCCAACAAGCTTAAAGGCGTTGAGTTTATACACAAAAGGTTGCTTCACAAATGCAATTCCAACATTTCAGATGTGAATACCGTCAAGTTTTTTTTTTTTTTTTTTAAGAACAAAATGTTAAACGATATGGAAAGAAGTGCAATGAAAGTATGGATTTCTATGTAGGATTCCTAAAATCCGTTTGCAAGACTTGTTGAAAATCCCCCCCCTCCCCCACTAATTGAGGTTTG